GCTAGTCACGGAAGGACATGTAGAGTACATATGAAAGCACTTCCAATACGACGAAACACTAATCGTAGGTGATTGATCGTTTCAATTACTGCATGGTGAGGCTTCACTATACAATTGATCGTCTAATGTATGCGGTGATTCTGCACGGGACTGCGATAACCCTTCGATAATCGATAGTAATTCGAGGTCGTTTAATGTTTCGATTTGAATGGTATCATCATACGTTACTTGATTTGTTGATATGTTGAATACTTGTTCGTAATGGATTTGTCGAATCTCGTTGTCGATGTCTGATTCGATCCCTGGTTTAATATTTGAAATTGATGCACGAGATAAACAATCGGTATTCGTGTTCTCAACACCCTTCTTTGAACTTTGAAAGCATACGTCAACAAAAAGGACGCATAACGTATGAGACGAGCTGAAGTAGTTCTTGAAACCTTTGCTGCTGGCTTGAAGATACGCACTAGTGGTTGATTATCAGTGACAAGAGAAAAATGTCTACCGGGTAAGTATTGTTGGAAATGACTAACGCTATATATTATCGCGAGAGCTTCCGTCAATCTGAGAATAATTCTGTTCCGCCTTCGTTAATGCACGAGACGCAAAAGCTATTGGTCTTTCACCATCCGGAAATATGTTTGATAATACGGCCCCTAAGCCATCAGGATTCGCATCAGTTGCTAAGATAACTTCACACTTTGGGTCATACGGAACGATTACGCGATCACTGGCGATTTCCTGTAAGTGTTTCAAATGCCATTTGACATTTTCGGCACCACTCGAATTTACGATTGTTTTGCAATAATTTACGTAGAGGTGCGGTAACACTCGATAGGTTCGGTAACAACCTTGAATAATACGTTAGCATGCCTAAAAATCGGCGAACTTCATTGGCATTACGCGGCTGAGGCATATCGATTATTGCGCTTGCCTTTTTAGGCGACTTAGGTATTGTATTTCCACTTACGACGTACCCCAGGTATTCAACTTGCTCTTGGAAAAAGGTACATTTAGACTCGTTGAGATGAAGGTGATTAGCTTGGAGACGGTCGAGACACTGCACTAGGTTCTCATAACACTCTTCTTTTGTTTGACCATGGACTATTATTGTTAACGGCTACCTTGTAGTCCATAGGCGCACCCCACCTTTAGGTCAGTCATTTTAAACACTAAACATTACAAAAAATACTGTAAACTTGAATTTTTAATATGTTGTTAGGGACAACCTAGACAGTGTAAATCTAGATTTGCAAACCTCAGAAACGTGAGCCAGCCGATATACAGGGTGAAAATCGAGAAAGTTTGGAACTTTTTTAAGTTTTTCGCAAAAAAAGAAGTAAAGGATTGATCTGAAGAGGAAATGTGTTATTACCACTTTTGAAGCAGAGCAAATTACCTAAAAGACGAGCTATGTGCGAGATCTGTAACCCAATTAGTTCCAGAGATACAGCTCCGTGAATCCGCACATTTTATATCTGTGATACGCGGGCATAAAGTGGTACTAGGGCATTAAGTATCACCATAGTAACTCATTCATACTTAATGACAAAACAAACAAATATTTGCAGGTCATTGAAAATTAGAAACGTCAATTATTAATTGTCAGTACCTACTAAATCACAAGATTGGCCTTATTTCGTATAGTTTCTGGAACTTCTTGCTCATTCACGATGAATTGAATTATTTAAAATTAAGGTAAACGCACCGATTATCGACACCTTTAGGTTTGTTGATATGAAAACTTGCCTGATACCATACAGGAGAAATTCAAATTTTCTTAAAAATTGGCAGGCACACTGTTTAATTCATTTTCTATTGAATTGAATTAACACTTATCGAATTGCTAGTACTATAATCCACAAATAAATAAAATTCTTGAAAAGTAGCGTTCGCGCTAGTTATCGACACAGGACAAAATTACAGGACCCATACACCGACATAGGTATGCACCAATTATCGACTGCCTTAAGAAATACGCAATAAAATTAAAAATTAACGTTTAATTACAAACAATTTACAAAATATTTAGACAAAATTGCACATTTCGCTAACTTCAAATAATCCTCTTTTATTTTTGGGTTTTGGTGGTAGAATTTTCTTTATAATTTCGTCTTTATCATACCACACTTCATCACATCTAGTCGGCCAAATCCAATTACGTCCCCTTTTTTTCCATGTGGCTAATTTTATAATTACCTTCTTCATCTTCTTCCTGCTTGTTGTAACTGTCATCTTTAATTTCTACGATTTTGCCAGGAAAATATTCACCATTATAGTCTACTATGACAAAATCGTATAATAAAAAATTGTTATTTTCAAGTGGTTGTTCTTCAATTGAATCTGAATCTTCATCTTTAGAGCAGTCTTCCTCGTCGGCATTACTTCTCTTCTTTCTCCAGTTTACGTTGTTCGCGAAGGTTTTTCTTTTCTTCTTTTTGTTTGAGATCAAGGTCTTTTGCCTCTCTTTTTTTTCTGTGATAATCTTGCCACTGGTTGGCAACTACCACTGAAGGAATTTTTTCCTTATTGCCTCTTTTTCTATTAGATTGTGAAGGTTTCGGTGTAGGCCAAAATAAAGAATTTTTGAAAGGCGATGGCACTATCAAACCATCGATTGTTAAAGGCTTTTCTTGTTTTTTGGATTCTGGAGTTACATTCTCTAATCCATTAACTTTATTATTTTCATCTTGGTGTGCTTCAATATTATGAATACTTGCCATGTCAGGTATATCAATTACATCAGCTACACGAGGTACATCAGGACTGGCTGGGACATTATGGACGTCCAGACTATTATTGCCATTAGGTACATCCTCAATTGGTGCGAGCTTCAAAGATTCATCGTTGGCGCCTTTACTTTCGTCGAATTCATCAAATAATTCTTCGCAAAACGAAAAATCTTCTCCGGGATCAAAAATATAAGACGGATATTCTATATCAACGATATCTTCTTTTTCTTCATCGCGATTTTCCAAATCGTCGACTTCAGTAATAACAATATTTTTCAACGTGGGTTGTGGTTCTTGAGTTCCAATGGAATTTTCAATGCCATCTTTAGGGAGACCTCCAGATGCATTCTCGTTCGACTTCAGGTTTAGTGGGTTAGCGTCATCATCGCCAATGTTAACGTTATTGAAACGATGACATATAGATTGCCAAACATAGAAAAGTTCAGTATCTTTTACATCTCCTGTCCAGGTATCGCCACTTGCTTGAAATGCTGACACCTTCTGTGGAACCTCTCTCTTGAGGACTTTTAGCAAAGTTTCATATTCTTTCAGATTTATACTATCTGGTTGTGTAGTTGTGCTTTCTACGTCCATGTTTGACTTAATATATTTAGAGAACTTTATGGCATCCGGTGAAAACGGCGATAAACCACAGGCTCTAAACGCATTTTGCACAATTGTTGAAAGATTTTCTACGCGGTTCACAGTATCTTGTAAGATGGAGGCAAAATTTTCTCGCGTTAATCGAACCCCGTTGTTGGTTATCCTCCAATTGTGGATCGATTTCTTCCATTCTCTTTTCAACTCGCGAAAAACCCCGACGTCTAATGGTTGAAGCATATGTGTTGAGTTTGGGTAAAGGGCAATCAAAATAATGTTATTTTTTGAGCAGAATTCGCTCAATTCCAAGGTCATGTGGGAAGTATGTCCATCCACATAAAGAATAATGGGAAGTTCTATCTTTTGGTGAAGGAGCCAGGGATGAAATACGTTTGCAATGTATTCGTAAAAAGTTTCCCCAGTCATCCGCCCATTATCAGATCTTCCAATACCCCAGTTTTTAGGAAACTTATCAGCAACATGCTTTGGTACACGTTTATAACTAAAAATTACCATTGGTGGTGGTAATAATCCACTAGCACTACACATAAACAACGATGTTAGGCATTCCTTTTCGTCATTGCTAATAAAATTGTAGACAGTTTTCTCTCCTTTTTTAACTAAAACATGGTCTTCCTTAGGGCTTAAAAAAAATGCTGATTCATCGCAGTTGTATATATGTGTAGGATCTTGACATATATGAAAATTATTCGTTTTTTGCAGATATTCGCCGATTTCTTTAAACCAACCACGGATTTTCTCCTCTGTGAGGTTAGCTCGACAACTTGTTAAATTTTGGGACACCCTTTCAGCCAACTCCGAATGCCTTTTCAGGAAACTACCGTACCATCGCTTCCCTGGTCTTCCATTCGTAAACGGATTGGGCCTTTTTAAAGACTTCATCAACATCTGAACACTATCCAGAAGTTGAGTTTTCGTTGCTGGGAAATATGGAAAATCCATTTCACAAGGAGTTCCTCTTCCTCTTTAGTTAAAATCGTATCAGGTCCAATTTTCCTTTCAATGGGTACTTTCCCTTGTACTTTTCCGATGAGAGTTGTTCTAGGAACCCCGAACAACTTTGAAGCTTGGGATTTCGGCATACCGTTTTGCACGGCCTCAAGTGCCTTCAACATATTTTCATGGGAATATTGGAGTCTTCTTGGCTTTTTGTCCATTATGACGATTGAGATTTCTATAAATATTTCATAGTATCAGTTATCGACATATACTGGGACGTTATATCGACATTTTCTTAACAACGCTCATATTTCCATTATCAGACTGAAATACGGGTGTCGATAATTGGTAGAGACACACCTTGCACCTTTCAGAATTGAAATTATTCACCTATATTTAATTAATTTGCCAAATTACTTCTAATTATGTTAATTTGTTAATACAAAACCCATTCATCGACACCGACCGTCGATAGTTGGCGCATCGCCAATTTTGAGGGAACCAATTATCGACACACATTAATTACATGAATATCAACAAGATTGAATAAATGTTCACTGAAATCAATATCATTGATCCCTATACTTTCTAAAGGCTGCTTTACACCATGATATTTGTCATACGATTTTTGCTATGATATCTCATATGATTCAAACAAAAATCACATAATACCTATGACTTCTAGAATTTTGTTTTACATTTGTAATATTTCCATAATATTTACATATGACTACAGCCCGTTGTACATAACCTTAATCCAAATACAATTTTATTACCTACCCACATAAAAAAAGGATATGGAAATGGAAAATCTTATAAAATGTCAAATTAGTGTTTTATCCATAATATTTGCATTAAAACGAAGGCAACTGAAAAATAGGCGCAATCAAAAAGCACGGCGGTTATGGTCAAGAAGATGGTTACAACGAAGAGATGAAGGGTACGGCATGTCTAGTATGATTTTTAACGAGTTAAAGTGTGAAGATCCTGTTAGTTTTCAAAACTATACCAGAATGAGTGTGTCTGTATTTGAGAAATTGCTACATGCTGTTGAACCAATAATTACAAAGCAAGATACTGTGCTACGGGAAAGTATATCAGTTAGAACACGGTAAACAATACTTAACTTACTAGATTAAATGCAAATGTTATACTAATTTGAGTTAATTATAGGCTATTGTTGACTCTAAGATATCTGGCTACTGGCGAACGGTATATTAACTTACATTACAGCTTTCGAATTTCTGTGCCCGCTATTAGCCATATCATTCCTGAAACTATAAATGCAATTTATGCCGTTCTAAAGGATGAGTATCTTCGTGTAAGTTACTTTAAATGAGGTATCAATGACATAGACGTGGTACTTTTAGATGCCAAATTCACCAGAACAGTGGAGAATAATATCTGACGGTTTTTATAAGCTTTGGAATTTTCCAAACTGTTTAGGTGCTCTAGGTAATTCCTGCATTTAATTTGAACAAATTACCTTATTTTTCAATTTCCAGATGGGAAGCATATTTCATTTAGGCCAAGAAAAGAAGATGGATCCTTATATTTTAATTATAAAGGGTTTAATAGCATCGTTCTACTAGCTTTGGTTGACTCCGAATATAACTTTATGTATGTAGATGTTGGTTGTAACGGAAGAGTCAGTGATGGAGGCGTCTTTGCAAACTCTACATTGTGTTCCGCGATAGAAAATGCTACATTAAACTTTCCAGAAGAAAATGTTTTACCCAATAGTCACAGAAAGGCACCGTATGTTATTTTAAGTGACGAAGCATTTAAATTGACAAACAGAATGATAAAGCCTTATGGTCAACGTTCCTCAACATGGGAGAAAGTATTTAATTATAGACTTAGTAGGGCACGCAGAGTGGTTGAAAATGCCTTCGGTATTTTAGCAAATAAATTTCAAATCTTACAGAGAGAAATTAACTTATCAGTGGATAAGGTTCAAAATTTAACGTTAACTTGTTGTGTTCTTCACAATTTTATAAAGAAAAATGAAGGGAAGGTCTACTTACGAGGTATAGATATAGAAGATACAGAAAATATAACACTGCGAGAAGGAAATTGGAGATTGGAAGTGTTTACAACAGGATTAGAGACTCATAGGAGTAATCGTTCTGCAAACGTTCCTATGGCAATTCGAGACACATTTAGCAATTATTTCAATGAGGAGGGATTTGTTTCCTGGCAGTGGGAAGCTGTGAAAAAATTTAACTTTTGAAATTTATTTATTCAGTTAGTTTTTAATTTTAAATTTCTACAAAATACCTACTGTGACTACTAAATATGTTCTAATATTACTCCTGCTTTAACATTTTGTATGAACTTTTTTTTATATAAATATAAGATATTGTTGATTTCATGCTTGGCGTCGTTTAGTAATTCTGCATCGTCAATGGTCAATAATTCCCTAGCTATATATCTAGCATACTCCATTGTATTAACGTCTGTTGGTTGAATACTGTTTTGTATATCTGATAAAATATTCAAACTACTTTGCAGTATGCCATCTTCTTCATGTTTCGTTCTTTTGCTTTTTGGTACATGAGTTATCTGAGTGTTATTCATCAGTTCCGATTCAGAAAACTCCATTGCAGTCCCAGCTTCAGATTCAGTTGTTTCCACATCATACAAACAATTATTATGTGCTGTGTCCATTTGAGTTTGTGATTCCTCCTGTGGCATATTTATATTAACATTGATTACCAATAATTATGCTTAATAACACATACCAGATTACTTTTCCCCTTTCGCGTCTTAATGAATTTCTTGATAAATGCCATGTATTCAAACCACCAAACACTTGGCTCATATAGGTCATCTGTACCACCCCCGCTACGCTTACTACTATTTATTTTGGATAGCTCGTGATTAAATTGAGACCGTAAGTTTGCAATTTTCTTTTTCACATCGTCCACAGTAAAGTTGACGCCAGGTTCCTCATTTAACCTGCCGACAATTGTATTTAAGGCCTCCACACGTGCATGCTTATTAGAGTAGAATTTATTTTTTACGTCGTATAAGCATAAATGGTGTTCATACAAACCAATTAGCGTTATTGTCAGCGACTTAGTCCACTCCGCCTTTAACAAAATAGGTTTAATAAGTAGGTAAACTTAATGTGTATACCTAATTTATTACATACTTTATCAACACTTTCGGACCCCATTCCTTTGGATGGTTAGGATAAACATTTAACTGCATTAAACATTCATTAAAGTAGGGTTAAGTTGCAAAAAGAATACAAACAGGTTACTAAAAAGCGGCAAAATTTAAAAATATCACAGCGTTTCTCGTGCGAAAATAGAGACGGTTCTATTTACAACATTTCTTATTATTTTCATATTATTACACTTATGACTTCCTTATGACTGAAATAATATGCAAACTCACATGGTGTAAACACAAATCTTACAACGTATGATTTATCATAAGCAAAATCATATGACAAATATGATAGTGTAAATTATGCTTAAGAAATGGTTTACAGCGTGCTACTTACTCAGATTATCGAATATATAGCAATAACAAACTCGCCCGATCCTTAGCAGTGAGATCAACGAAACTACGCCAAAACGTTATGATCGACGTCTGTCAACTAAACTTAATTTTTTTGTAGTGGTATTCCTGCAGTAATGCTTGATGTGATGATTGAAAGATGTCGCTAGTAATTTAATTAATCAAATTAAATGTAAAGGGGGGTAAAAATGGCAATAAATTTCTTATTATCGTTGGAAATATGTCCTAAGTGTCGATAATTGCGTAGGTGTCGATAATCGGTGCGTTTACCTTACGTTTGACGTTTGGGTGGTTTCAATCACATTAACAAATTCGAACCACGCATACTTGATCAAACATAATGAATTACTTTGTAAACGAATATTTACTTTGACGAAGAAAACTATTTATCAGATATAAAATTGTGTATGTACCACGGGCATAAAATGATGTTTATACTCTCGGGCGACTAAAAAGCTTCGAGCTTTTTTACTCGTCGCCCTCGAGAATATAAACATCACTATTATGCGCTTAATACATAAATAACTATTATTGCCTTTATTTTATAGTGGGCGGAGTGTTAGCAATTTGCTATATTGACAAGTTTTCAAAAAAAAAAAAGAAAATAAAATAATTACATTAGACATTACATTATAACAACTTAAAATCGAGGTAATGGTGAACTGTAACAATCATTTTCGGGCGATCTTTGGAGGAGGCGAAGAGTCATCGCTTGTACTTGAACTTCCTTGTTGGCTATATTTAGGTTGAAGAGAGAAGACGCTATCAAGGTTGTCTGGAGGTGACTCCACATCTGCGTAGATCTCCTCTTCATCCAACTCCTCGACTCTTGGTATGTTCGTGCAATTGATGCCTTCGCAGTGTTTGCACATTAAAGAGCATCTCATACCAGCCATCATGCAAGAACACGAACCGGAGCAACCTTTTTTGCATCTGCAGGACAGATTCTTCAGAAGAAGCGAAAGAGCTGCGTTCTGCATCATAGAGATCGGAAGTAGGCTCTGATCCGTGGCCATCCATCTCCAAAGTGTTGGATTCTTTTTGACTCCAAGCCACTTCTGTACCTGGTGGTACGCACGAAATGAGTGATATTTGGTTGCATCTTTAGTGGGTGGAAGTCGTGCCAGATTGATTTTAGCATTTGCAGAACTCTTGACAAAATTGTTGTATCGCATTATGTGAGGTGATGAAAACCCGGGGAAAGTTGTGACTCTTGGAGATTGCAGTTTTAACAATGAGGACATCGGCGTCTTCTTCGTCTTGCATTGTTGAAATACCCTGACGGTCGAATTCTGCCATCAGCATTTGAATGAGACGATGCTTGTTTTTTTCGTTGGATAAGAACTTTTCCTGCGTTGTTCTGATCAGCGTGTTCTCATTGAAGTGGATATCTCCAGTGAGTGCAGCAGATCGCCGTGATCGCTCAGCACTTTTCGTGTTCTTATGAGCTGCATTATCCGGGTAACCATCGATTACCACGGATACGTTCGGACCGAAATGTTTTAATATGTACGTGGAATACCCTGCAATGATACCTCTAATTAAATCATTGCGGTGCCATACAACCTTGTGTAGGAGGTAACCACCATCTGTCACGAAGTATGCACTACTGAAACGGATGTTTTCTTGAAGAGGAGTGAAGGCAGTATAAAACGAGGACTTGGTACCTTTTCTCATACCCTCTTCAGTAAAAAGTGCCATAGGGTATGGAGCTAACTCGAACATGAAGTGATCTTTGAGTTGTTCGTCAGATCGTTTCGTTCTGCAGACACCCTGGAAGATTGTCAGAGGATCCACATCAACTCGCTTCTTCATAACTTTCACGGACCTGGTGAGAGAACCCAGTGTCATCACCTTGTCCTTCCTTTTTAACTTCACTGTATGAAAAGTTTCGCTTACAATTTTTTTTACTCCTTTCAACCTCACCTCATATGCAAGATGGCAATTAATTTGTGAGCCTCCGACTAATCCACTGCTTATAGATATTAACTGTTCACTAATTGGGAAAGGAGGATGGATACCAAACCAGTCCTTCAGTTTACAAGTATCAACAGTGTCTCTGACAACCCGAGCTTGCCTCGTGTCTACATGTTGCTCCGTTATATAAGGCGATACCGCACTTACTTACTGAAGCGTTCTACTTCGTTACAGATATTCAACATCAACACCATTCCCTGTGACCAACGGGAGAGTACGCTGCTTGAAATTCCTCTTCCATGAGTCAAACCACCTTGCCTCTTCATGGACCTCATCAGCACTTGTTCAATTGTAAGGTCAGACCACAGACCAGACCAGAATTTATCAGAGCGACGGATGGTGAATCCTCCTTTCGAAAACATCCTGTACTCATATGGAGTCATTCGTTGCTCAAGGGTTTCCATATCTTGTAAATATAGTCTAGCACTTTTTGCATAATTAAAATGTTCTGCCGAATGGAAATACGGCAACATCACTTTGACGCAATGTAGGTAAAGCTCCCAATCACCCATCCGCTCTGCCTGAATGAACTGTTTCAAAAGCGAGGTCATCCGGTAGTACTGAATCCATAGTTTGGAAGTTGGGCCGTTTGGCTCCAGGTTTTCTAAGACAGTACGGAATTTGGCGCTTAGAACCTAACATATACATCATTTTCTTCTACGCTGAAGATATCAACACTACCACTTAGAATTTTTTCCATTCCAGCTTTTTCTTCACATGTGAACTTCGGACCTTGTCAATATTCACAGAGCTGTACCTCTGAAACTAATTGGGTTACAGATCCCGCACATAGCTCGCCTTTTAGGTAATTTTCTCTACTTTAGAAGAGATAATAACATTTCCTCTTTAGAACACTCCTTTACTTATTTTTTTGCGAAAAACTGAAAAAAGTCCAAATATTTCTCGATTTTCACTCTGTACATCGGCTGACTCTTGTTTCTAAGGGTTGCAAATCTAGATTTATACCGTCTAGGTAGTCCCTAACAACATATTAAAAATGCAACTTTACAGTATTTTTTGCAATGTTTGGCAAAAAAATTGTCTAATATGACTGGCCTACTTGAGGTTTGCGAACTACCACCAACGGTGAACCCCAGTCACCTTTTTCGCACTTAAGAGATGATTTCGGCTGATTCCAGGAATTCTATACTGTATTCATTTTAAGAAGGTAGCGGTAGAAAGCATAGGGAAGCTTTGACCTTCAATGAGTCAGTATTACACTGAAACATAAAACGAGTGGCGAATTTTGTAAGCTGGTAGTTTATGTTGCCAACTAAACTGCCGAAGTGTCATTAACTGTTAATGTCAAAGATTTATTTCTGTTCGCAGTACTGGATATTTCTTCTTTACAATAATTTGGTGCCGTTTTATATTTTTCCTGTGTGTGTTTATCTTCAAACATAGTGCCATCTACTACCTTCTTATAGTGAATGCAGTATAGTTCTCGATTGACGTCGTCGCGCAACGCATACGGTATACTTCGTTCGCGTATGTACACGGGTTTCACATTTTCGCGCAACGCAAGTTTGATTACGACGTTTGGTACACAACCAATTTTCTGTTCGAATATTGAAGAATATTTTGCTCGTATGTCGTCGACTAAATTAATTTGAATGGCCCTATTACTGACGCACTCTCGATTTACCACTGTTTCGTCAACCTCTTGACTCCTGTAATTCAATGCCTAGGTGACGAATCCATTCTCTTCCGAGTAATGGGTCGTATCCCGGCGGTACCACGTATAAATCCAAATAAGATGGATTATCTTTGAGGCGGTACTGAACACTGACTCGTAGCTTACCATGTGGTTTGAACGTTTGTTTGGTATACGTACGGAACTAGTACCGGTTTCCACTTAAATAGAAATAGATTTTCTGGTAGCAATGTAAATTCTGAACCTGAGTCTACTTCACACTGAACGCTCTTACCTTCAATGTTCACATACGTATAGTACTTTCGCGACGCGTTATTTTCCGAGGAATCCACGTTTGAAACACTAGAAGTTTCTTCATTTGAATTGTTCTGTGACGTCGACGGCATTTCATTCATTTTGACGGAGTTGATTTGATTCACTACGACGGCTTTACCACGTTGCTGTAGACGCGACTTAATGCACACTCTGGCGACGTGTCCTTTGTACAAGACACATTACTCGGATCACTACGGCAGTCTTTCGCGACATGATTGTCTCGTCCACAACGGAGGCATAGACAATCTAGGCCTAGCTCACAATAATTTACTCGAATACATGAATACTTACGCGCAGTATTTCCACTCGATTTATTACTGCGATTGGTGGAAAAGTCTCGAGATTCATGATCGTTTTGATGCCTCGGTCTGCTCTTGGCTTGATTTCATTTGGATATCGGCACCTGTGCCATTGTATTGATGGATGTATTTGCTGCTGAATTGGATACATTCGATGAAGGAGGTGCTTGGCCATGACGCTGCGGCTATCTGCTCTGGCTGCCTCAAGCGCGATGGCTTTTTGGACAATATCGGAATATTCGGTATGCTTAGATTGTAGTAATTGCTCTGTAATCCAAGTATCCCTTATCTCTCTTATAAATTGTGCTCATAAAAATAAATCAGCTACGGAGTTTTCTTTATCGCATTCGCACTTCATTCTAAATTGGCAGGATTCGCGACCTTTCCGTAGATCTGCTACGTATTCGGCAATTGTTTGGTTTGCCCCGGTCGATAGAAAAAAATGCTGCGACAGTAGCATATTTTTCTCCGGCGATAAATGTTTTTCTAAGCTAGTTACTAACTCATCATAAAACAGGTCAGATGGTTGTTGAGGAGCGACTAATGTCTTAAGGACCCCATAGTAAACAACTCCAATAGATCCAAGGAGAACTGATTTGGATTTTTCTTTGTTCCCGTAAATTTCCCTCAG